AGACCCAATCAATCTGAACCGCTGATGAAAAGATAGCTCGAGGGGTAAGCACGGAGTCACAATATTAATCCCAGTAGTGAGACTGAATACCATACTTGCTCTCCTTGCACTTTTCCTGCGGCCAAGTTTCAATAAATCATCCGCATCAGCAAGATGTTCCCGATTATAAATATGAATCAAGCTGTGCCTCATATAACAAAGGAAAGAGCAGCGCACTCAGATCAACCGCCTCGGGCAATTCTGGGAGTTTTTTATTAGTCTCAAGGATCACCTGTCACATGATGTCTCAATCTCGGTACAGTATAGTTGGTGATATTACTTACTGTGCAATTCGAAAGATTTTGAAACACAATTCTATACCAACAACAATTCGGAGATCTCATACCTCCATGAAATATATGAGTTTTTCTAAATGTTTTTACACAGTAAACTACAGTACAGAGCAAAATAACACAGGTTTTTGGTTTCAAAAACACAGTAGCACCTTTATGGTCATGTAGACTATTCCAGAGGGAGAACCTCATTAATCAAACCAGGAAGGCGCTGCCTCTACCCCGCACATCTGTTTTCCCGGAAGTTCTGCTTTAGTACCAAGGTCAGCCACCAGGAGGCCCATATTTGACCTTGACCTTTGGCTTCCTAAGACCTACCAGCATACCAAATATCATCACAATCCATAAAGGCGTTCTGACGTTATGCTAACTACAAATGACTACAAATTGTTGGCTGTAAGATGTGGTGAACTACGAACTTGATGGTTATATATTAGTGAGAATCAGTTTCCCTGTGGTTTGTGTGTGTGTGTGTGTGTGTGTGTGTGTGTGTGTGTGTGTGTGTGTATGTGTGTACTGGCCATAATGCCCTACGTATATACGTCACTTACTGGTGAGCTGGTCGGTATCATTCCGCGCGGAGAACTGGCCTCTCAGCCGACGCACGGAGAAATCCTGCGGCGAATAGCAGCCAGATATCTTAGGAGTCATATCTGAAAAAAAAATAGATCTTGCGTCGTCAAGTTGATAAGAGAAAAATACGTTTTTAAAAATCCGATACTTTGCAGTTTGTGATTTTTTTCTAGACAATGTATACTTATTATCAACTATCACTATCAATTTATTTTATATTCCTCACCTTATATATAATTACAAAATTGTCCTAAAATAAAATTGTCCTTCCGACTCAATATAAATTTGAATTCTGATGATGGTTTGTACTTTCAAGGCATACTATGTTTGTACGCCCCAAGCAAAAAACATCATACTAGATGCACCAGACTTCAAAAGAAAATGTATGATGCTTTCAAACGCATTCGTGATAGATTGATCAGGCAGGCTAGCCTACGAAACAGTGTTTCATGAAATAAATATGCAAGCAGTTTCCTTACTCAAGAGTTTAATTTGAAAATCACCCATGGGAATCAACCCGAAATGGACCCAGATGTAGTGAAACCATCTATCAAGGGTAAAATGTGCCTGAAAGGCCCGGGTCTATCATATATTCTCCTCAGGGCGATTGCACGACCGCTAGAGGTGCCATACACTTCACCCAGAATAACTGAACTCTCAAATGGAGACCATTGAACGACCTCTCCACTACTTGGTAATTTCTGTAATTGGATATCCATGCTAAGGGCCTACTTAATGTCGCTGCTACAAAAACACGTCGTTGAGTGTTTTTTCTGTGTAACATTTTATACACTGCTGTGAAAAAATATCTAGGGTCTATCTATGTTTACCGCATTGCTAATATTCGATGTCACTATATAACTAGGAAATAAACATGTATGATGTTAGAGCGACATAAGAAACTTAATCTAAAGTCAATATCTTGACATTCTTGGCGCTAAATTTATACTAGTTGCTAAATTTATACTTTTTCTGTGTAACATTTTATACACTGCTGTTAAAAACATATCTAGAGTCTCTATGTTTACCGCATTTCTAAAATTCGGTGTCACTATATAACAAGGAAATGAACATGTATGATGTTACAGCGACATAAGAAGCTTAATCTAAAGTCAATATCTTGACATTCTTAAGCTTGGCGCTAAATTTATACTAGTTGCTAAATTTATACTTTTTCTGTGTAACATTTTATACACTGTATTGAAAACATATCTAGAGTCTATGTTTACCGCATTACTAATATTCGGTGTCACTATATAACAAGGAAATGAACGTGTATGATGTTAGAGCGACATAAGAAACTTAATCTAAAGTCAATATCTTGACATTCTTGCAGCTAAATTTATACTAGTTGCGTCGCCGTGAAATGTCAAGAGTCACTGTTATGCATTTTGATATAGTCATATTTGTGTAAATTCAATTACTTGTACTAGTTTCAATCACAGGGTTTGACACTGTGTTAGATAAACTCTTCATTTCCCCATAGATCGATGCCAATTCTTGTGATGAAGTGTCGCTGTTCGTTTTTGCTTTAGTATGGCAACCTTTCAGTGCAAGAACACTTGATAAGTAGTTGGACTTCTGGTGTAAATAAAAGCCCCTATCACACATTTAGGACCAGTCGACCAGATTTAGGCTACGCCTACGTACGAGTCGAATCGAATTTGAGTTAAATTTGAATCACATTTGAATGCCAGCCGAGCCCCGACCTACTGCCTAACACAGGAATGTTTTAAATGTTTTGCATTTGAATATCATTGAAGAGGTTCATCAGTCACGTAGAATTAAGAGTTAGTAGAAATTCTTCGATCAGTGACTGTATTTTTGTAACTTAAAGGTAGATTACGTACATACTGTACCTCCAAATTTCCGTGATCAAGGTGTACAGTCGACACCGAAAATTTGGAGGTACGTAATCTACCTTACAATCTACAGTAATCTACAGTCACTGATCTAAGAATTTCTACTAACTGTTTACATTTGAAACATGCGGCCAGCACTACAGCCGTACACTAGCCGACCCAGCTAGACCTTGCTCCCGACCAACTCCCAACCATGGTTGGGGGTAGGGTCATTCGGCTAATATTTGGGAGGTCAAATTCGTGAATGTGGAACAGGGACCTAAGCGAGAAGTATGAACAGCCTTCACTTAGAATGATATTGTCAAGCATGTGCTGAATCCACGTGAAGGGCTATTGAATGAACTAGGAAGGAATCATGCACGAATTGCAAGATAAAAACTGGGATGAAGTTGTTCATCAACGATAAAATTAATGTTAACCAGTTACACATTCGACTGAGACACTCTACCATTTGTCATTACATATTCGGCCCCTTTTGAGAGTCCTATGCTTTAGGCAAGTGTCTATAGCTATGAACTTGCCCAAAACTGATCAAGAAAGCAGCGGAAGGGGGGGGGGGGCGTAGACACCGAATGGAATTGAAGTTGTTCAAAGCTTCCACCGTTGAGGTATGGAACAATCGATGAGCTCCAATTGTATTACCGTAGTAAAAACGGCAGCCGGCAGCACATACGATTAACTGGGGAGATATTTCACCTGGACGTATGGCAGCGTGACCTGACCTCTTCACATAGCTTCCCAAAGTAATACAGATGAAAGGCTTGGAATTAACGCATGAGAAACAAAGGATTCCACAGCGGATAAAACTTATTCTACTGGACCTGATAACATTTGCCCCCGAACTCCCCTCTGGAAAACCTCCGATCAATACCGAAATTTATTGAACAGAAATGGTAAATAGGGTCAGAATACGCTTTGTCCGGTTCTATTCATGGTTGCCATGTTCGATAGGACGTAACTCTCAAGTAAAATGATCCAGTATTATTTTGTAACAAAGGCAACCCTTTGAGAAAATTGCAATGTGATAATCAGCGTTTTTTTTCTTCAGATGGATTTCAGTAAGTATTATACTCAAGACCGCAGAAGTCATATTTGCTTGACAATCTTTGAGAGATGATAGCTTACGCCACCACTATGTCAAACCCTTGGGCAATACCAATGAATACATATGGCAGACAATAGAAACATCCATCATAAAACACATTAATAACTAATGATTGTAAGGTTGAACAACTTCAAGTACGTACATATGTGTATGGTGAAGTTGGGGGAATATGTTGGAGTGTACAGGGATGCCATCACCATTCACCAGTTTCCCATCCCCATAATGCAATGCGAAATTACGGTGGTAACCCTCATTTGCATAAAACTGGAAGGCATCGGAATGATCCTGGTGACGTTAAACAGCTTGCTTTTCACTGTGTTTTGAGGTGGCGGGGCATTTTATGCTCAACATTAATTAATTTACTATGGGTTGAATCTGAAAACAAATAGAATGAATTTTTTGGAATATGTGATTTGTAACGTTATAGTGGTAACGCTATACTGATGCTGTAATGTTACAAACCACATGTTCCATGTTGAAAAGAACACAAAAACTTCATTTTCTATTTGTTGTCAGATTCGGCCCATAGTAATTTAATTAATGTTGAGCATAAAATGTCCCAAACACCTCAAAACACAGTGAAAAGCAAGCTGTTTAACGTCAACAGGATCATTCCGATGCCTTCCAGTCCTATGCAAATGAGGGCTACCCCCTATTTTCGCATTGCATTCTGGGGACGGGAAACTGGTGAATACTTGCCTGTTGCAGCGTAACTGGCGATTACTGTGACGTTAGCAGTTCTGGGGCTGCTGACGTAGTACGCAATATAAAGATGGTGGCCGGTGGACAGTATGGTGCCGCTGGTGGATTGGCCTTTCGTGCCTCTATCGAAGAAGAGTTCCTGGACGGATGCAGAGGTGTCAGAGGGTCCATCGTAGACCTAGGCAAAAGAAATTATACAATCTTAGCGAAATCTTTGATTCTTACACCGCCTTCAGATGCGACAAACTTCAATTATAAAGCGTCGATGAAGGTTAGACATCCAGGTAATAAGATACGCCAAAAAAGCAGTTACTCAAGCAACTGGATTCCAAAACCATATCCAATTGCTTGAGTAACTGCTCTTTACGATTATGAAGTATGTAAGTTTAATTCTTACACCATAATCAAATATAATGTAAGTATAAAAGAGTTTTAAAGCTGCAATATGTAACATTGGGACAATACTTAAAGTAAATTTTCTGGTCATTTTTCTTACAAAGTAAGTTGAATCAACCATCTCCATTGTAAACAAGTGCCATACAAGAAGTGGAGGTGCCATATATGACGCCTTATATATAACTAGAGTGTGTTTAAAATCTTGAAACACAGCTGTCAGCCATATTTGTCCACATTCTAGTAGTTTGTGTGCCTGGACTGTCTTAGCAATAATTATAAATGTCACAGATGTGAGATAAGTGTACAAATATGTAGAAAAGTCACATTTTAAAATGTTTAATTTTTGAGAAAAATGTTACATGTTGCCCCTTTAAATTTTGGGTAAAAAGACGGTGACTTGGCTTATATAGAGAAAGAGCAATTGTTGACGGAATTGGTGTTTGATATTTGATGTTTGGTCATAAATCACACGTAAATGTGGCTGTTGTTGTACTATAACTGTTGTGTGACTTTAAGATTACAGCACTATATCAACGGTACACATGGGTTCATACATTACAAAGTCTTGATATTTCCCCCAAGGTTGTGCATTAGAACGACTGGGAGACACCGGTCTCCAAAGTGACTCCCTTTTGAAGCAACACGATGGAAATGTCACATATTCCCACAAGGCATGCTTTATCCCATAAAATTGAAATTTATTGAGTACACGCGAAGATGATAAAAATTCAATCAAACGAAAGGTCTTTACAAACACTTTTCTTAGAGGGGAAATAAGAAAGAGTGCCAAGTGTAGAATTTTATTTCCCTCGCCGTTTTGAATGAATGATACCAAACTAATTGCATTACTCGGTCATTCTGTAGAAGACATTGGTGTCATTGAAGTTTCACATAAACACAAGTTAATTCTTTATACAAGAATAGTAAAAAAAAGCTATCGCACACAACTCTTTTCATAGTACAATGCTAATGCAATGATACGACACGATATAATTCAATTGGGAAACACTGCAATATATACGTACCTAAACATTGAATCATTGAACAATTAGCTTGTAAAACAATTTGGCTTACATCCCAAAAGAGAAGTCACGACTGTATATAGCTCACTGCTTTGGGTATTTATAACCATTTTCATATTCAGTAGGAGGTAAAATATGGCAAATTTTAATTAGCTCTGATTATGAATATAATTTATTTATTTAATGTCATTGTAACAACTCATAATTACATGCTTTGTTGGTAAAGTATTCTGCAGCAGACCATAGAATGGCAAATACCAGTTCCAGCATCAAGCAAAATATGAAACAGATGTATGCTTCGAAGATTGTATCACAGTTTAAAATGAGTAAAAGAAGCAAAGAAGCCTCATTGAAGCCTCATTGACTAAAACCGAAAAGTATGCTTGCCATTCACACATTGGTCAATAATTAAGCGTGGTTGGTACTTTTTTTGTTTCTGTGCAAATGGGCCCTCTTATAATTCCAATGTAAGAGTTCTAGGAATTTTTACTCTTTGCCTTGTCCTCCTCACCTCTAGTTTAAGTATTCGCAAAGTAGAGCGATCGAAGTCCCGTAGCCATGATGATGGAAGAACCCCAATTAATTAACTATCTGTCATTCATTAAAGTGAAGTTTCGGGTCGGCGTAGGTCGGACAGCCAATTCCCCGATCCACGAAATTGATCAGATCTTGATCAAGTTTGCATGGTCATCGACGTCTTTTCAGATGAGCGAATGCCCATTTGGCAGAGTAGCTAGACTTCAAAATTAAAAGTCTCAGAGTCAAGTTTCAAACCCTGATGATGTCTAGACACTAGAAAATTGAAGCACGGCATTTTTTACAAGCCTCTGGGTACCATTCGTGTGCGATCGGGCTTCAAAGAAATGCTGGAGTTATCATGAATGTGGTGCTCCACTCTCGAGACTCTTCAACATTCGTGCCTACAAGCACTCACGGAGGCTGCAGCCTTTCATGTATTATCATCACGGACATGATTGTAGGTTGCGGTGAGTCTCAATTATAGTGAAGGTGATATCTACTATCTACGTAATTACGCCGAGGTCGGCGAATCGTCCGTATCTTCTCTCAGCGTCGCGTAGCGTGCATGCTTAATGACGTGAGGATGACGATAAAAGGTATCTTGACAGGCGTGGTCTCTGACATCCCTGAATGATGTTCTATAATTATTCTTTAGAAACAGGCAGCAAAGTTCTGCGGGAGATTTTCTGTAGATTATGCATGTCTCGCGAGGCTCTATTTTAGCCCGCGGTGTCATTTCACAATCATTACCCTGTTCTATGCCGTGTGAGATATTGTGACTCGGGGGCTTTCCGCACAGTGGAAAACTCAGCCGAGTTGGAAGTTCCAGGTTACAGTAGGTGGCCCACAGAAAGGGGAAACTTGCGATAAAGATAGCTAGCTTGCCTCATTGACTTGCACTTTACCGGTCATGCACAAAATGAAATAACACATAAACTTTGATTGATGAGAACGGGGTGACATTTGGAATCTGTGAATACTTCAAATTTCCTTGTTGTGCTACTATACCCTTGTACATATTATTTTAGTTTATACACCTAGATTATCATTAGTTATTATTTATTAGCCTCATGATAAATATTTATTATGTTTAGAGGAGGACATTGTACAAGCCTTACAGGCTTCTTTCCTCCTTCCGCATACTGTGTTTATTTCTTTGTTTTTTTATTTTTTATTAATGATTTTATTTCTGCAAATAAATAAAAAAGTAGATATTCACAAATAGATCAATAATATTTGCAGACAACTGTAGAATTAAAAACTACACTTTTAACTGATGAAAACATTCAAAGTTTTCGGAGCACCACAAATCGACTTTGGGGCAGAGTAAAGTTACCGGTAGACTTTTGGGCGCCTTGACGACCATATACCCTTGACATTGTGTTCCTTTATCTATCGGGTTATTCGCCTCAATCACAGCATGATACCGATTGGATACAGTGATAGCTTATGTACTTGATGTATTCAAAGATAATGTCATTATACAGAATTACATAGCCGCATTAAATGACTCTCGAAAAACCTTTGCAACTATACGTCAACAATGCTCATCAATTCTAGCCTGAGTGTCAGCCTTGTTAGCTTTCGTCCGCTACCCAAGGTCCGCTCCCCGCCAACAAGCGGACCTTGGGTAGCGGACGAAAGCTAACAAGGCTGACACTCAGGCTACATCAATTCCTAATTTCTAACAATTTTTCCAATTTTTAACAAGCACAAAAAATTAACATATTTAATTGAAAACATATTGCTGTATTGTAATTCACTTCCACCTTTCAACATATTTGTGCAATTATCTCACATTTCTGACATTTATAGTAGGCGCGAAAATAGCCAACACAAGGCACACTCAGTTTGTGGTGCCACCACAAACTACCAGAATGTAAACAAACATGGTTGACAGCTGTGTTTCCAGCTTTTAAACACACTCCCATTGTGTTATATTTTGGCACCTCCAGTTCCTGAATGGCACTTATTTGCAAATTGCAGTAGGGTTTATTCAACTTAAAAAAGATGTCACCAGAAAAGTTCAATTTTATCTCGACCTACTGTTACATAATATAGCTTTTAGGTAGATATCTGGTCTTGGGTAGAATAGAAAACAGTGAAGATGGTTGAAAAAAACCTGTACAGTGACTAGACCATAGCATGCAACAGAACAAAGTGGATGAAAAGCATATCTTTGCCAAATCGGTTATTGTCACAGAAGAATCAGAATGAGAACAAACGAACAATGTGTAGCTGCGAGAAAGAATACTAGTATATGGAATGACGAGGAAGTCTTAAATAGATCTATGATACATCATTGAAATGACCCATTCAAATTCCCATCCGGTAATGCCAACATAAAACGGCCATACAATTTCAACAGGTTTTATTGACTACCTAATGACTGGTAGTCGTTGAAGGCTGTTACTGTTTGTTCTTGGACGCAACATGGCTGACTTAATAATTCGTATTCTTCAACAGCTTACAACGCCAGTGTGTGTGTTTCTGTCCGTACATTACTGAGGTCTCCAAGAGGTTAAGTGAATGTGGTAACGTGAAGTCCAGGGCATAACCTTCCCTCTATATGGTTGGTACAATCTTCACCAGCTCTGCCGAGGCATCACTAACTAACATATGCACCGCTAGAGTTGGAATTCACCTGTTTCAAAACCACTTTCTGTACGGCGCCAAGCCGTCTTGCCCGTGGGCATTAAATGCGGAAACAATAGCATCTTGCAGACTACCAAAATGCACGCCGTTGGTCTACTGGCGCTTGCGAACTCGCTGGCTGTAATGAGGTTATTGACGTCGAGGCTACTCCCCCACGTCCACGGATCTATAACCTTTGACATCTAACAATCCCAAACGTCTCTCAAAAACTGATAACAAGCCGGTGTGGGATTTGTACCGAAGTAGTCCTTTCAAAAGCTTTCTCCGCTTGGTTTAACGTTACCTCGTTTCCTACAAAAATGAAGTACTTTAACCGTGAAAGTCACAGGCCTCGATGCACCTTGACGTTTTATTAGAAGATGTATGTATCCGTGTATGCGTGGATGATTGAATTCCTTGCTGTGGAGTACAAGTCATTTGACGGAAAAGGGAATGGGGTTTACCAGAAAAAAGCGCCGATGATCTAGCTTATTTTGTTAGCAGGATTTTTACTCAAAACCAACTTGTGACTTCTTCAATGTCGTGAATGTATGTGAAAAGAACTACTGTAGGGATGCGTTTGTGAAGCTTAGACATCCAGAAAATATAGATATGCTTCGATGAATTGCATACCTTTGAATACATTTTATACATCCAAACGTTTCAGACACCATTCGACGTCTCTCGTCAGTAAAATAAATTGAAACTGTTTATGAATAGAATTTCTAAAATATATCCAGATGTATTAATTTAATTTGTAGGGATGGAAATGATACTGAATTCTGTTAGTACAGAAGATTCTGAAACTAGAAACCGTGCTGCTTGACAAGTCGTAATAAAAAAAACTAGAAGGAAGGGGATAGAGCATGGAATAAGTACTTTGGCAAGTAGGAATTAATTACTATAACAAATGCAATTTGTAATGGCAAAGGAATTCGTGATGTATTGCACGTCATCCCCAAAACGCCCAAAATATGCAATACTGATACAAATGTGCTAATGTACGTGGGGCAGTATGTGTCAATATCATACAGATTGCCTTATTCATAATATTTCCAGTTCTGCTGCCTGAAATTGCACTGGATGCTTTTAAACATGTTGCTCTGATAAATAAAACAATGTTACGTTCCTGCACCATACAAGGAGTATAATTCTAAGTACTGTACTTTGCACAAGACCAAACTGTTACGAGTTCACTTCCTAACGATATTTCTTTCTAAGTGTTCAGCAAAAATATTGTCCATTAGTACGGTAAATAGGTAACAGTTATTCAAAGACTACAACAGTAACTTTATTGATACTATTGCTATTGGGCAAGAAACTGATTGGGAAGCTTGCTGGAGAGTCTCAAAAAACCCACTTTTAGAAGGCTGTACAAGCTCAGTTTCTCAGTCATCATGATTGGAACAATCTTCAAGTGACTATATTGTATGTACACTTCCGATATTTGTATGTATTTTACAGACTTATTTTGGTGTCATGAGCACTTTAAAAAAACAACATGTTGCTCAGAAAAAAATACCTTGAAGTATCCGTTCCCGTCACTCCGAATCGCGTTGAATCTCGCCTCCCAGTTGAGAGTCAGCTGGGTTCCGATCTTGGAGCGGATGGACCAGAGAGACAGGATGGGATCCCGTCTGCGGCCTGATGACGTCAGGTCGTCAGTGTTAATGATGCCCGTAGGATCAGTCAGGACTTTCGGGACCGGCTGCGGGTTAGCCCCAGAACCTTTGGATGGTCTCTCTGCAACACACAAAAAAGATGCAACTCACTCAAACTTACACTGAACACACCAAGTAATTCTAACTCAACTAATTCAACTAGTTCCACCACTCAGAGCGTCCTACTAGGTTCTCCACTAGCTCACACAATTTCACCGTCCAAATTCCTTGTTCGAAATCTTTTTACAGTGACAGTTTCTTTCCCCGTACGGCCAAGCTTTGGAATTCCCTCCCTGACAAGTGTTTCCCACTAACCTACAATCTACAGGCTTTCAAATCAAACGTTCACCGCCATCTGTTCTAAATTGTGTTCTGATCTAAATGCCTAAAGCTGGTAAACTTGTACACAGGTATAGAGGATATCTTTCTCATTATTTTAGAAACTTTGAAAGATTGGTTGACAAGTATCCAGTTAGTTTCCATATATAACATAACATATGCATTTACGGAAATTCTATTATTTATTTATTTATTTATTTATTTATTTATTTATTTATTGGTTTACTTGTATCAACGTATCAACAACAACATATCTCGCAGCCTTGACATACATGGCTGAATTATGATGTTTGTTTACAATATAAATCATTAATTAATAGTGGGGAAATACAAATTACAATCATGTCGGAATCTACAGATTAATATGATATCATTTTGGTTCAAGGAATTTAGATATTTACAATAATGGATTATATTTTAATATAATCCATTATTGTAAATATCTAAATTCGTTGAACCAAAAAAAAAAAATATTTGTAGACGAATAGTCATTATAAATCAAACCCGGTTATTTAATATTCATGTTGGTACATAGGAACAGCGTACACGACATTGAATGGCTTTTACAATAATTTAGCTAAAATAAGACATTAAGTCCCACGCTATCCGGCTTCAGCCCTAAAGATAACAGTTAACTCGGCGAGCGATGGCAATATGATAACCAGCGATGACCTTTTCCCTGCACCGTCAGGCATTAAGTAATTCTCCACGCACTGGGGAATCAAACACCCGCCTGTGAATGTCACTACGATACGACAGTTTTCACATTTCAATAAAGGCGGCTTTCTCCAAGCTTAAAAATCAAACTTTGTAATCTGGGGCGAGTCACAAGGATAGCTGCAAAGATAGTCGTGGCTCTCAAAGGATTTAGAATGGTTCTTAGGATCAAGAAATGCATTGCATGGCAGCGTCGGTAAAAAGGACAGCCTTAAGGCCACTTTACACAGAAAATGATATATTTGTTTCATTATATGTATTCAAAATATTGTTGTGACAGTAAAGCTTGAAAATCAAATTTGGTAATCTAGGGCGAGTCACAAGGATAGCTGCAAAGATAGTCGTTGCTCTCAAAGGATTTAGAATGGTTCTTAGGATCAAGAAATGCATTGCATGACAGCGTCAGTGAAAAGGACAGCCTTAAGGCCACTTTACACAGAAAATGACAACGATATATTTATTCCATTAAATATATTCAAAATATTGTTTTGACAGTAAAGCTTAAAAATCAAACTTTGTAAGCTGGGGCGAGTCACAAGGATAGCTGCAAAGATAGCCGTAGCTCTCAAAGGATTTAGAATGGTTGTTAGGATCAGGAAATGCATTGCATGACAGCATCAGTAAAAAGGACAGCCTTAAGCCAACTTTACACAGAAAATGACAACGATATATTTGTTCCATTAGATATACTCAAAATATTGTTGTGACAGTAAATATCTGTGTAAAGTAGTAGTCTTAAGGCTGTCCTTGCCCTTTATTGATGCTGCCATCCAATGCATTCTTAGATCCATTCTACATCCTTAGGTGCCGGGAGGTGGATGGCAGATAACTATGAAGAGAGGAGACAAGAAAAGGCTCTGATTTAATGTTTTGTTTCTTACTTTGATGCAGTGATATGTGATGCTGGTTGTGTATATGTGATGTTCCCACTGAATCAAAACCATTTGTACAATGATTGAGTCAAGATTTTAAGATGTAGGAACCTTGTTTTTTTTCGGCCCGCCTTGTTCTTTTTTCGCCCGCTCACATTAGACTTGGAGTCTGCAGAGGACGTCATCCATAAAATTTACTTGCTGTGGCCTAATATATGTTTCAATTATGTGCGTTGATGAATATAAGTTCTCCTTGTCAGGTAGATTTGCTGTTGCGTTTATGATTTCTTCAAGAAATAACTTTCTTGATCTCCCACTTTTGAGACACTGAAGTATCTTATTATATCATATTAGAAGTACAGACTCAAAATCGACGTAGATATGGTCGAATCGAAGTAAACGTATTTTTCCCTGCGTCGCTTCCCCTCCAATGTCAATGAATGAATTACCAAACATTCCAAATACAATCCACGACCTTTGGAAGCTGGAAGGGCAGCGCTTCTGATGTGGCAAGTTCAAATTGATTGCAAGCGGTATTCATCTCAGGGAGGCATTTATCTGGAGTTTCTTTAATACACGATGGCATCCAATTGTGGAGAACGCCAAACCACATACAGCATACCCTTTATTTTGACATGTTCATTGGTGTCTTGCACGAAAGGGGAAGGTACTTTTTTTGCTTTGGAAGTAGTTGCCGGTACAACGCAGATGCATAATGCTTACCTTCACCCGGTCTAGCCCAGCAAACTACTGCCCCTTCGTTACTCAAAGTTAAATGCATTCATGCGTATGGTATTCAGCCTCTCCAACTCTGTCCTGCTACATAATGTAACCCAACACCACAGGGTGTTGCTACACTACAAGTTACCATGGTGTCAGACATCTGATCCAGGTCATTGACTTTATTTGTTTCGAGAAGAAGAAGAGAAAGAAGAGGGAGAAGAAGAAACTGAGGAAAAACTCTTCTCCTTCTGCGAATTTCAAAGTAAGGCCATAGCATGCAAATAATTTTTATGGATGACAACAGCGCGCGCATTAATTCTCGCCTGATTTTTTTGGGGAAAAAAGAGACTTTGTTGCCTTCTGACAGTGGTCATCATGCCAAAAATGGGCAAAGATGTCCGTTACCATACCAGAAGGTGGGTGGCAGATAACAATGACGTGAGAAAAGGCTCTAATTTAATGTTTTGTTTCTTACTTTGATGCAGTGATATGTGATGTTGGCTGTGTATATGTGATGTTCCCACTGATTCAAAACCATTTTTACAATGATTGAGTCATTCGGCCCGCCTTGTTTTTTCCCCGCTCGCATTAGATTTGGAGTCTGCGGAGGATATCATCCATAAAATTTACTTGCTGTGGCCTAAACAATGATTATCATTACCTGAACTGTTGTAGAAGGCATAGAAGCCGTCCCCTGGAAAAGCGTTGTCGGTTTTAAACCGGATGAAGAGCTGGTTGGTGGACGACGTGATGGATTGTGGGACATTACTGCCGCAAAACCGGCCGAGCAGCGGGGCCTTGTCGTCTGCACCGTCGTAAATCGTCACGCTGTCGTAAACGCACGACGATCCTGCGGCAGGAAAAAACAGACATGGTGTCAGAGTAAGGTATGAAATTGTGTGTTTGTTTACTTATTATTATAGCTTTGTTTACTTCTTATTATCGGTGTGGGTATGCTTTATATATCTACCAACAACAATTAATTATAAATTATGGCATACACCCCTTTAAAATTGAACAATTTGGGTCTTTTGTACTGTTTTTAATGCACTGTATAGTGTTGGGGTGTGAGTAATAGTGAAGGAATTTGGGCTATGACCATATTTGGGCATTGGCATGCATGGACAGGTGTCAGGTGTGTCTGATTATAGATGGGGCTCCTGATTGGATGTTAACTTGATTGCTTTAATTATTTACCAAAGGAACACATGTGCATACTTGTAACATAGAAGTATTAGGAAATAGAGTGCCTTAGCTTGGATTTGGTGAAAACATGTCACATAAGGTACATGTTTTGTATAGCTTGCAATCTTTAAGTCATATTTTTTAGTTATTAGAATTTACATGTAAGTTCTAAGCTTTAAAGTCTATACTAAAGATAGGCGAAGGTTTCTCTGCACCTAAACATAGCTCAATCGGTACGCAGCCTGCCATAATACTAGTAACTTACAAAGTGTAAGGTGGGGGTTCAAATCCAGGAGTGTATTTTTTTTACTTCATCTTTTTTTCATTTAATATTCAATTATTATTATTGCTATGTCAATAATAAAGTCAAATAGTAAAAAAAAATCAATATACTATATGGAAACAAAGGCCTATTGCGGTGCGTAGGAGCAATACAGTCTGCTAACCACGAGAAGTTCATTGACGTGCGTAGTAGTTGATGAACATAGATTGAGTCTATTGCTGTTTTGTAATTTTGGGTTCACATGTGCCAATGGAATTCAACTGATGTGGACATTTGAATATGTTTATTACCTCCACGAGGAAATATGCAATCCAAACTACTAAGTACCTAATACCAGCCCAGAAGAGAACAAGAAATAGCCATGCCTTCAAGTACCAGAGTTATCAACCAAGGATTGGGGTGTTCAAGAATTCATTCTTTCCTAAAGCTATTGCAGAGTGGAACTCATTGTCCCCAAGTACAGTAGGGGTATTGTCATTAGATAGCTTTAAACAATGTCTAGAGTTACAAGTTCAAGGGTTAGGTGTAACAAGTCGATCGGTGCCTGCGAAGCTGGTGTGTTACGCCGAAAGGCGGTTATACCGGCTATACAGATACAGATGAAAAATAGAGGTGTTGTTTTTGGCATGTGTCAATCAGTGTGTGTATCTGTGTTATGCGACTGGCGCTTAGACCAGGTTGTAATGGATATGGTTCGGTTCAGTCTGTCCCAGAGGGAGAAAGTCATTAATCACGGGTGCATATCACTGTTTTAACAGGTGTTTTTCATTACATGACCTCCTTAACAGCTCATAACTGGTGTTTCGTCCATTTGCACGATACTGAGCAAGACTTGGAGACACCATGCTGAATGAGTCTAAATATTTCATGGAGGTCTGAGATCTCCGACTTCTTCTTGGGATTGCTTTTAAACCTAGTAAAACTAGGACACAATTATGTGATCCTTTGGCGGCGACACAGGGGCCCAGTTTTCCGTTTGTCTCCAGTTCATATAAAGCCGGATGGTCTGAGTCAGATCATTATAAGACATTCTCTCTACCATCCTTCTCTTCATCTCATCAAATGACAGGCGGACAGACAGACAGATTGACCCGAGGTTGCCAATTTAACGGCTCAGTCTACTCCAGCCAAATGAGACTTGTTGCCCGGGCATGTGGTCAACACGGTGGTCAAGATTAAAGCTGGGGACATTGTAGACGAAAATTGCAGACCAATTTGTCCGGAGCACCTAAAGGGCCCTACACGCAATCTGAGGACTTACTCTGACTAAAAACACAGTCCGAAATATTGGGTGCCGTGCAACAGATGGGGAGAATATCGACCACGTTTCTTGAAAGCCTGGAAGTCGTAGCGATGCGCATTTGTCTAGCTGGGACCATGTTCGGGAGCACTATTACCAGATTTAGACCACACCTACATTTCTATATGAATCGAAATGAATTTTAGTAAAAATAATAATAATAATAACTTTATTGCGCAACAGCTGTACATGGTACGAAGTATGGCATCTACTAACTTAAGTAAGTACATATCAATTACATTTTCATAAGGCTAACCTAACTAATACAGAGGTGGGTGGCTAGTATGAGATATCAACTTACACAATCTTTGGAGGAGTTTCTAATATCCATACAGTCTATATATCCCTATGTATAGCATGTAGGGGTTGTCACAAATAAATATGTATTTAAATTTGCTTTTCAAGTTCATCGTGGCAAATGCTGGAAAGGAATCTGAGTTAAAGTTGAGTCAAATTTGACCCCCAACACGCCCCGAACATTGCTGACTTACTCCCGAATGGTTGGCAGGTGTTCTGCTGACTAACAGCCGAATAACAGCCAAACATGATCGAACCTCCCGACCAACTCCCGACCAACCCCCGACCAACTCCCGACCAACTCCCGACCAACTCCCGACCAACTCCCGAACGTTTTGAACATTTTGAAACGCGCCGCCGAATATAATTAATAGTAACCGAACTTCTTCTAACCATGGTTGCGGGGCACTCGCTAGTGTTTGGGAAGCCAAATTTGTGAATGTGTGACAGGGGCTTACATTTTACTTGTAACTCACCAACAGCAGTTTTGCAGTACAGCAAATGTAAGTATCTCTTGCGATACGAAAGTACCCAACTGAACCTCTTCGCTATTTGCTCCAAGTTCTTGCTCTTTTCCCTACATTTCTTATTTCGATGCATGACTTACGTTACGTATCCTCTGGATTATGATGCTTTCAGACAAAAGGTTAACCTCATTAGTTCGTCTTACTACGTAATCGTGTTCAAAGTCCTGCTATCCATTTCAAAGGCATTAGAGACAGCGACCTTTCTCCGCCAAGGTCGGTTGGCATTGCGGTGATCACGTCTGAAGGCATTCCCCGACTGTATGTCACTTTTAGGCCACACCAATTTAATTCGGTGTTTCTCGGATTCACCCTGTCCTTTTTTCTGATTTGCAAAAAAAAAAAAATTAAAAATTTTGGTTCTAAGTCAACTGCAAAATCCTCAATATACATATTTTGGCCCCAACGGTTGAAGGAAGTCATTTTCGTCCTAGTTGTGAAAGTTTTTCTATGTAACAATGCAACTTTGTTTCATTTAAAGTTCTATTGTTTTAATTATAAACCAGCCTTGTATGTTCACTTCATGGCTCATATTGTAGCATTTCCGGCTATCATGGGGTACCTTGACCTGTTTTTTTTTTCGCCTTGTCGCTTCATATATGTTCCCTAGCTTCCCAGCCTACAAAAACTGCATTTCTATTAACACCTCCCACTTCATATATCTCGCAAAATGTCGGCCATTTCATACTCCACTGCACACGGAAAAGAAATCAAACCCAACAATAATTACAAATGTATATCTAAAGTATCATTAGCATTACTTATTATCATTTTTTACTGTTTATTGTTGTTATCATGTTCTTACAATTAGCCCTCATGCATGAATTTGCAATAGACTTTCTATATTTTCTGAAAAAATCCGAGAAACAACAAATTAAATTGATATGGCCTGACGTGGTTATAGAGGCGGATCCGTCACCCTAGTTTCACCAACCGTTCATTCAGTACCGTGGAATTAACGGATTAGCCCCATTACAACAACACACGACCCTGGCAAAGGCTCCCAGTGACAATGACAAATAGGTTCGGACGGTAGGGGCACGGCTTGCTTTCTGTAATTAGGGTTCAAGGTGACGTTGTCGGCTTTGTATACCACCCAGGAGGGAGATGTCTCTATTTTCAAGGAATTCAGGATCCTTCAGTTGTAACTGGAGCCGCGTTTTGTTACCGTGAAGATGTATTGGTAGGGACTTTTGTGTGCGTCACTCTTGAGGGCCAACTTAAGATCGAAAACTAGATCTTATTGTACCACAGGGCGCACTGTCAATATACCATACATTAGTTTGAATACCACAACAGAGCGATGGAAATTCTTACACTTGATATGGTCGTCTTATGTTTCACTACACAATAGAACAGATTTTTAACCGACTTGGCCTTTCGTAAGTTGCTTCGCCTTTTGTTGTTACGTGGTGTCTTTGTGGCTTTGCTCGAAGTCACAAATACACGGTTTTGACAACTAAAAAGAATTACCCGCACCAGAAGTATCAGACATTAAGTGCGGTACGAGATGTGCGTACAGAATAGCCTCAATCTTTTCAAATTAACGAGGTCTAATTTAGCCTAGTATTGCATAAGGCAAAATGATTAAGCTCAATGTAAAAATTGTGTATTTTTTTTAGAGATTTCTAGGATTTTCAGTATGTTTGTTCATAAGCAAATATGCATTCTGTTACTTTTTCTACCAAATGATTAGACTTATTGAAATTGCAACAG